CAAAAATTTAAAATTCATACTGTTTATACGTACAATAAATTAAATAAAAAGGCTGGGACTTGGCTCGAGCTTTTTTGAACCGAGCTTTTTGGGCCTGAGCCGAGCTGAACAAAGCTTGGTCAAAAAAATGAGGCCTTGGCTCGGTGTAACCGAGCTCTATCCGGGCCAGACTCGAGCTTTTTTCGAGCAGAGCCGACGAGTTTTTTTGCTATCCCTACGTGCGATTGCGAGAAGTGTATTACAATATTGTCAATTGTCATTATTTTGATAGAGTGAACATTAAATTTTAATAACACTTTTTTTCTTTTTAAAAAGTGTCATACCATGTCACTTTCAGATGCAAAGTAATGCCTTAATTCATCTTATTTACAGTTTCACAAACACCTTGTATGCGATTTGTAATTAATCCAAAGTTGAATTTTCATATATACTAACTCATCACCATTAATCAAAGTTAAATTTTAATGTGTACTAACACAAACAAAAACATATAAAATATATAATATATACGCATTTTCAATCAATATTAAGAAATTCGATCATAGAAAACTTCAGAATGATCAAAACAAGCAGATAAAATAAAACTGAACTTTTGGTAATAGGAGATTAAATTACTATCAAATTAGAAAATAATTGCATATTGTATTACTGAACATTTAGAAACAGAAATTATATAAATTCATAAGCAATTAATAATTAAACATGGAAAAGTAAACAAGAATCCAAAATTAATTACTAAATAATTTGAATCAGATTTCAGAAAATTCCATAGTTAAAAGCTTCAAAACAAAAATGAGTATGCCACCTACAAAAAGGAACTCTGCTGATTGTATAATGAAGTTGAAAGTGAAGATGAAATTAGTACCAAAATCCGAAAAGTAAACTCTTAATGCAATACAAAGATGGAGAGTTCAGATTTTTTTTTTTTTTTTTTTTTGCAGATTTTAAGAAGGAAAAGAGCAAAATATTATAACAATTATCTGGAAGAAGTCATTTTTTACTCTGAATTTTAATTAAATGGGAAAAAAATTTGTGAGTGTTTCAATTTTTGGATCGTGTTGGGTTAGGATTATAATTTGAGGGATTTTTCTGTTGTTTTTATTTTACAGTAATAATTGTTACCCCTTAATTTATATACTGATTTTTCAAATATGTATGTTATTTTTTATTGTATTTTTGTAATTTGCCCTATTTTATTTTAATTTTTGTTTTGTTTTGTTTATGTTGTTAATTAAACCCCCGTTCGGTCCCCATTTTTTGAAATTATATATAATTTTTGGAAGTACTTTTTTTTTTTTTTTGAAAAATGTATGGATGAAAAAGAAGTAAAAGTTTTGATTTACGCGTAACATTATTTTATGAAAGATTTTGTTGTTTAAAATAAGAGAGAAAAAAATAAAATTTTGAAATAATAAGAACCAAACGGGAGCTAAATTCCACGTCGAGGAAAAAACATACAAAAAGGGTAGTGTCCTAATAAAAACACACATTAATTACACAATCATGTTATATGTGCAATGGATGATGATGATAACCAACACTCACAATAGGGGGTTCCATTTTTTTTTTTTTTAATTTTTTAATCACGAGGGGCCCGCACGCACGTATTGTTATCCATAATTTGTACAAATGGAATTTTCCTTAATCAAGAAATGTTGAATAGGTTCATGGTCAACTTTATATATTGTAATTTATTATATTAAGAAATGAAGCCCAACTATCTACCTGTATTTATTTATTCTTCAAAAAACATTCAGGGCGGCACGTTCCCATAAGGTTGTTAATTCAGCCGCCTTGAAATCGTAACCAAATAAAAATAATTTAAAAGAAAAACTAATACACGAAGTTAAGTTTTTATAAAGAGTAGTATTATTCAGTTCTAGTGATATTAAGTATCACTCTATATCGTATTATAGTTATTATCACATTGTTCAATGAAGTTACAAATTTCATTACTTTACAATTTAAATGATTCAAATCACGTTTAAATTAATTGACCATTAACATATAAAAAAATTATGTTAAATAAGAGATTAGTAGAAATCAATAAATGGTCGTTGAAAAAACAAAATAAATAGTCAAAATAGAGTGTTGTCGGAGTGCAGAAAAATTTTACTGTCTAAATCTAAAAATACTCTCTATTATGCATGAAATGATCTTTATAGATATAGAGTGATGTTGTTGTACTTATACGAGGTAATTTCAAATTAACTCCTCGTAATGACACAACTATACAAGTATAATAAGGGTTGATGAAATGGTAACTTTTGTCCCCAAGAAAGAGAGAAGACAACGTGAAATGTTTACGTTTTTATTGGCAAAAAAATGAGTTAATTGTTTCGATGTTCACTGAGCTATGTCTATATCTTCAGTTGTTCACTGAAATTTAAAATGTCAAGTTTTGATCACTAAATTTCGAAAAATATTGTACGTTATTCACTAGCATAGCTTTCGTCTCAAACCTCAAACGAAATTGGTGATGTGGCTGACGAAATGCATATGTGGTGCAGTCACACAATTAAATCTTGAGATGGTCGAATTTTGGCCACCAAACTTTAAAAAATATCTTCTATTGCTCAATGAACTTTGATATGGTTGAATTTTGACCACAGGACTTTGAGATAGTCGAACTTTGACACTAAACTTTGAAAAAAAATCTTCTATTGCTCACTTAATTTGGATTTAATTAAGCATCTATTTATCTCACTTTAAAACATAAATATTTAATTCTCATACTCATTTTTAATCATACATTAATACAATAAAATATTTTACGCGCAAACTATTTTTTTTTTCAACTTTTTAATCATACGTTCTCCAAAAAATCACTATTTAAAATTTCCTTTTTTTTTTTTTTTTNTTTTTTTTTTTTTTTTTTGAAAAAAAGGCCATTAAATAGGGGCTAAATTCGTTGTTAAAATTCGGATTTAATTTAATTTTAACAATAAATATATTGCGTGTTTCATTGCAATTGGTAGTCATTTCTTTTGCACAGCTTTGTAAGCATTTTCTATACAATTACATATGATTATTCAATTACACAGTAGTTAAATTAAGGCCCTATTTGGGAGAGATTTAGATTTTTCTACAGTAAATCAATTCTCATTTTCAACCACACATTCTTCGATAAAATAATATTTTCCGTCACATCAATAATTTTTTCTTCTTTTTCAACCACACATTTCCCATCATATTAATTCTCATTTTCAACCACACATTCTTCAATAAAATAATATTTTCCATCACATCAATAATTTTTTCTTCTTTTTCAACCACACATTTCCCATCATATCACTATTCAAAATCAATTCTTCCCCCAAAAATCTCTCTCAAACAAGCACTAAATATTAATTTATTTTGTAAAATTTTAAGCTATTTTATCATAAAATTTGAATTTTACAATGAAACACACAATGAATTTATTGTTAAATTAAATTCAAATTTTAACAATGAATTTTAATTAAATACAAATTTATTATGAGCCTAGAAGACGTTTTTAAAAGTTTTGTAGCAAAAACTTGACCATCTTAAAGTTTAGTGGCCTAAATTTAACTATCTTAAAGTTTAGTAGCCAAAATTTGATCACCTCCAAGTTCAGTAAGTGTTAGACGATATTTTTCAAAATTTAGTGAGTAATTGAAGACCTTTTTCAAAAATTTAATGGCCAAAATTCGATCGCCTTAAAGTTTAACAGCATGACGAGACGTCATGTGTGCATTCCGTTAACTATGTCTCCAATTTCGTTAGATATTTAAACAGAAGTTACCCAATGAATAACGTCCAACGTTTTTTAAAGTTTAGTAGCCAAAATTCGATATCTTAAATGTCATGGAACAATCGAATATATAGACATAGGTTCAGTGATAATTGAAACAATTAACTCCAAAAAAGACATATTTGTAGTCCATGTTTGATTTTGTTAAAAAAGTTCATAAATTTTAAATCAAAATCAACAATTAATTTTAATAATATATTTTATAAGACCTAAAATTTATCAACTTCAATTATAAATTTCATCAATTTTTATTAAAATTTACTAAAAATTTGATTTTTGGAAGAATAAAACATGAGCATAATTTAATTCTAGCGACAATAACCAAAAATTAAGTTATGGACCAAGTTTTACCAAGTTTTATAGATAGGGGATCAAGATAACAACTTCCTCAAATTTTAATCACATGTTAAATTTAGGAAAAATTGCAATAGCGGTCCCTAGGATTTTTAAATTTTGTAAACTTTACCATAACCTTCCATTTGTACCAACGAAAGTCACTAGCCTTTTAAAATAAACACCTGGAGTCCAATTGGATGGAAATTATCCATTTGAATGGTAGTTGAGCAAAAAGGTGAATTTCGACCAATTTTGACCCAATTGAAATGGGTAAAATGGTGACTTTGTATATTTTCAAATATTGACAATTAAAATAATAAAACTAAAAAAATGGAAATCTACCTCACCTCCATTCTATTCCATCCCACCCCATCTTTTTCTTTTCTCCATTTGTTCACCACCACCTTCGACGGTCATTTCTTTTCCTCAAGTTGTACTTTCGGCCATCATCCCATCTTCAAAATTATCTTTCAAATCTTCGAAATCCATTCCCAAATTAATCATGGTAAAGGCATTTCCACTCTCCCATGAAAGAAAAGAAACAAAAGAAAAATTCCTAAAAGAAAAAGAAAAATTATCACCGTAATGGCATTTCCAAATTAATCAACGTGAAAATGATGATTCTAAAATAGAGTTGAGTTCGCACAGAGAATTTAGAGTTTAAGCAACAATTTCTTTCAATTTCTTCAAATTTCGATATTTGACTTTTGGTCTCATCTTGCTGGCCACTATCGTTAGTTCACCTACACTTGAAATTTCAAAATTTTACTCCCAAATTTGCTAATAATACTTCCCTGAATGGGCTTTCTGTTTGCTTGTTAAAATGCGCTGAAACTAAATAATTAAACCCTGAAATGTTATCTGATTTCCATATCCTTGCTGCTGGGGGATGGTTGTGGTGATGTTGGTTTTCATGGAGGTAACAGTTGGTGGTGATGGCGATCGACCTTTGGGCAACGGTGACCATAGTGTGTTGGGAGTGGGGAAAATCGACCTTTCTATTTTTCATGAGAGTGGTGGATGGGGGTAGATTTTTTTATTTATTTTTAATTATTTTAATTGTCAATATTTGAAAATAAGTAAAGTTATCATTTTATCCATTTCAATTTGATTACTTTTTTTGGTCAACTAACTGTGAAATGAATTATTTTTATCCAGTTGGACTCTAGATGCATATTTATGAAAATTAGGGACTTTTTATAGCACAAATTGAAAGTTAGAGTAATGTATGCAAACAATAAAAATATTAGGGGCCGCTGCTACAATTTCCCTTAAATTTATGCAATCTCTTCCAATTATACAAACAAGCCAATACAAGAGCGGGCCAGGCTCACTCTCCGACGAACGAAACGAATTCGTACAATTTCTGAGATTTTCTTGATTCTACGTTACTACAGATACTACTTATACTTCGTACAATATAATTCTTTCATGGCGGACAAATCAGAGTTTGATCCTCAGCTTATAATTTCTCACAAATTTCCTGAGGTAGTTATTATAATTTTAAGATTCATTATGTAATTGGATTTTCGCCCAAGTTGATGTTGGATAATAATTTTGATTTTCTTCTATTCCTTTTGCTCCTTCGTGGTTGAATTCATATTTGCAATTATCAGTTGGCATACTCTTATACGGAAAGGTACTTGTGTTTATTTACCAAATGCAAAAAATTCGATTTCATTTTTGTTTTCCTCAAAATGGACGGATTATCTTTTGTACTGAACAGAGATGCAGCACTCTATGCTCTTGGTGTTGGGGTTTGCGGAAACGATGCATTGGATGATAAGGAGCTCAAATATGTTTATCATCCTGATGGCCAGCAATCCATACAGGTGTTTTTTTATAACTATAAAAATTAAGCTTGATTTTAATATTTTTTTTAAGCATCTTAATAATCCTGATTACAGAAGCTGGTAATTGTGCGAGTTAACGGAAATTAGTGAAGTAATTTGAGTATCTTGATTTTAGATAAATGCTAGTCCATTATTAGTATTACTTTTGGAACTTTTATTATGTCCTAAGAGAATTCGAACACCTAAATTAATATTTCATTTGGGCTCCAATTTGGGGTTTAGCTTGAGACTGCGTGGCTCGGTTTGAAATACTGGAAATTGAAAAGGAGAATTCATCTGTTTTTATATGAACGATGGAAACAAAGTGGCTTCATGGAGGGTAATTGATCATAGATGTGGTGCTGTTAAACATCGAATTTAAATCTGTTGGCCATTCAAAAGGTTGAGGTTCGCTGACTTGTTGATATTAGCTACAATCATAGATTCATGAGTACACCATTTGCTTACTTCTATAGGTCTTGCCAACTTTTGCTGCTTTATTTTCTCTTGGATTTACTTCACACGTTGGGCAACTACCAGGCTTGCAGTAAGTTACTTATTTTGTTTTAATCAGCGCATTTGAATGTTGAGTGTGGAATACTATGTTTCTAGGATATATTCTTTTGACAATTCATATTTTCTTGCAAAAGTACTAGCTAAAGAATTTCTGAACCATTGTCCTCCAGATATGATCCACGCCTTCTATTACATGGACAACAATACATTGAAATCTACAACTCACTACCTTCTAATGGTTGCGTAAGGTTCTTCAAAAATCTAATGCAGCTATAGTTCTCCATGTCATGGTCTATATATTTGTCTTTCCACTTCCTTGAGCTGATTTTAGTTTTCCTCTCAACTTTGTGGTTTCAGATACTGAATAAAGCAAGTGTTGCTGGGTTGCACGATAAAGGTCTGCTTCAAAGTTTTACCTCATAATTTCCCTATCTTAACAACCATGCACTTAATAAGTTGGATAAATGTGGATAAACTAAACAGCCTTCTGCAATAATAACCGGTAAAATGGAAGTTTTTCGAACTTAGGTGTTTGGTGGACGTACCACTTCAAGTTTTTCCTTTCCCACCTTCTGGAATGTTAAGCTCCTTTTGGTTTGACCTGTTAATAAATTAGACATTATGTCTTTGATGAAGCTTAATTGAAATGTCTCAGTCTTTACAGTCTCTTCTTTCTTGAATATAATGGGAAATATCATGTATGGTTTTTTACTGCCCAAATTTGGTGAAAGGGGAAATCTTCACAGCCAATTGCTGGTGGATTTATATCCTTGCAGGTAAGGCAGCTGTTCTTGAAATTGAAATTGAAAGTTATGAGAAAGAGTCTGGTGAGGTGCTATGCATGAATCGGTAGGTTCTCATTTATGAAACACAATAAATCTGTTACTTGTCAAAAAAAAAATTTCTGTCCTTTTTCTCCCGGTGACATTAGTTTATAGATTATTTTACTACTTCCCAGGGTTAGCCTTTATTTGAGGGGTGCCGGTGGCTTCTCAGGATCGTCCAAACCTTTTTCCTATGCCAAGTATCCTGCCAATGAAATACCAGTGTATAAAATCCCTGAAAGTCAACCATTTGCTGTATTTGAAGAGTGTACACACCCATCACAGGTACATGAATTTGTATTTCGATATTGTTCGATGTGTTTACTTAGAATTTTGTTACCACTTTAGAGGCTTCAACTGCTTTTGTAATCCGTGAATTCTTCCAAATTTTTCAATGATAGTGCAGGCATTGCTTTACAGACTCTCTGGTGATTACAACCCTTTGCACTCGGATCCTACGATTGCAGAAATTGCAGGGTAGTTTGTCTTAATTGATAACCGTAGTCACATGTTGCTGCTTTTTCGTTACTATTCTCTGAATATACACTGCTGATTTTTTTGGAATATTTTAATTGAATCTAGAGGATCATTTTCATTTCGGAACATAAAAGTGTATGCACTGTTAATGAACATCTATCATCTTCTTTTGGCAATGAATAATGATGTCAAAATGTGCAAAGAACTATACTATGTTGGATTGTGTAGCTACTAATTAGACTGCTTACTTGTCCCCCGACCGTGGACTGACATAATTTATTTTATAGAGCGTATTTTTCTACTATTGATATATTGGGCATTCACATGTTTGTAAAAATTTCTCCAGTTTCCTACGTTATAAATCAGAAATGTGGGGAGCCAATTTCTTCTGAATGTGAAAAAATAGGGAGGCTTGAGATCTTCGATTATAAATCATTTTCTTCTTGAAAATAGTGAAAAATCTGCAGGTTCAATAGATGTCAAATCGAGGGTGAACCATTATGTATCTCTGTGTATTAGGTGTGCATTATGTTAGTTTCTGCTTTGTTTCGTCCAGAATTGGAATTAGAGCGTAATCCATAACATTCACATGATGACTGTTGTCCTATTAGTCGTCCTGTTACTAGTTTTTCAAGTAAAATATTGTGCTCTTATTACATTTATTACGCTCTGCCTAGATTTTCTCGTCCAATATTGCATGGGCTTTGCACACTCGCCATTGCAGTCCGAGCTATCATTAAATGTATCTGCAGAGGCAAACAAAGTATGATCAAGAGCATATCTGGTAGATTTCTGCTGCATGTCTATCCGGGTGAATCCTTAATAACAGAAATGTGGCTCGAAGGATTGAGGTAAATTAAACTAAGCTTTTGATTATTAGATTGCATAAATAGTTTGTTTATTTCCTTTTGGACTCGGAACTCATGAAGGTAGTGAAATTTGCAGTGTGTTGTATCAGGTGAAGGTGAAAGAACGAAACCGAGCTGTGCTCTCTGGCTTCGTAAAACTTAATTGCTTAAGTTCGTCGCTGTGATATATTCCATTCAAGTCAAGAAGGAAGCCTCATAGTTGTCAACCAACACCCAAGACACACACCTTATGAGATACTTGGAGTAATAAAAAGAGAGAGACTATAATCTTGTTTTCGATATTCTCTAGTTCTATTTATCATTGCATACTGATGTGCATGACTAAATCATTGATCAAGCTTTATACTGAGAACTTATCGTTACATAACACTTCTCGATATAATTTCTTTCACAACGAGCTTATTTCTTCAATCGATATATAATTGCATTCGAGTAGTTAAAAAAAAAAAAAAATTTATTCACTAATTGTTCAATCTTGTATATCATGTCTCGATATATATATTGTCCTCGTTTGATTTAACTAATTTTTTTTTATAAAAATCTAAATTAAAGTCAATAATTAATTTTAATCACATTTCTTGAAATTCACAACTTTTCAATTGCACGTTTTTTCAAATTTTATCAAAATTAACTAAAAGTCTTATTTTTAGCCAAATTAAACAAAGATATTACGTGCATCTTAAGGTACTTTGAGCTAAAGTTGACTGCTCGACTTGCAATTTGTCGAGGTGAGTCTATTTAGTTGGATCTCAATCAGATCGACAAGTACTGGCTACATTAACTCAATTTTGTCAAACACAAATATGAAAAAGGGAATGGGAAGGTACTGTAGTTAGGAACAGTGAATTGTTCCATTTTATCGCACCGTAGCAATTTTTCCCCATGCCTACAAAAAGGCAATGGGCCATGTCATTTCCCTTTATTTTTTGTCTTTAATTATAGGTGAGGAACAGTGAATTGTTCCATTTTATCACACTGCAGTCTGCAGCAATTTTGTTTCCCCTTGGATTTTTCTCCATCCCTACAAAAATGGCAATGGGGTTATGTCATTCCCCCTTTATTGTCTGCAATTTATTCGTATGAAATGACGTCGTTTACTTTTATTTTTTTCACTAAATGACACCGGCTTCTCCTTGTTCACATTTTCTATCAGACGCCAAATTGAATGCATTTAAACTTTTACAGTCTTTCCCAATCCGTTTCCTCGTCTTTACTCTCTCTATTTACCCACGGCCACGGTACTGGCCATACCTCGTTACTCCTCCAATTCCCTCATGCCTCCCTTCCATTTGAGTGGATGATATTACCGAGTAACTCGATTGATTCTTTGGAAAGCAGTCCTAATCCGTTGTAAATTTTATACAATAGGGTTTTGGTTCGTCATTTTTCTTTTGCAAATACTAAAATTGTTAAGTAAATTTTCTTTGCCATTTAGGCCATGTTTGATAGGCAGTTTTTTCCAGATAAGTTAGAAAATAAGTTCAATTTCCCACTTTTTGAGGTGTTTGATAGGTTAAATTTTCCAGTCAAAATATTTTCTCATTTAACCCTCACGTGATCTATTTTCCACCAAATTGAGGAAAGTAGTTTCCCTCGTTTCAGCTCGGAATGGATTTTCCCTGCAATTGGAAGAATTAAAGAAGGAAACTTCTCCCCCGCAAGCTACACCCGTTTCCCTACAATTGGAAGAAGCAAACCATTGTCTCTCCCGTAGCAACGCCATTTCCCTTTCTCTTCTCTCCATGCTAGAAGCCACTCCAGTTGGTGGTGGAGGAACATAGTAATCTGGGGGGCGTTTGGGTCTTCCACCACTGGCAGACGACGGCGACGGCGGAGAATACCCACCTGTGGGTGGCGAGGGGGAAGGGTGAAACCCAGAATTTTTGGCATTGATCTCTGGTTTTTTTCTTTGGCCTTTTATTAGAATCCTTAACATCACTCCCCTTTTCCTGTTTAGAGTCAGATTCGGAGGATAAATTGGGTTTCTTAAGGGCGGGTGTAGTAGACTGTGGGGGAGTTAGTCAGAGGTGGGATTGATGCGGGAGGAATTGGTGGAGAAATTGGAG